TTTTCTGTTTTAGGGAGAAAGGAGGTGAAAAGGGTTGGTGCTCCCAAGTGGATGTAGATTTAGTGAAATCAGACAGTTTGTGTCTATGTAGTATGTTTAAGATCAAGATCAAATTTTCTTATTTATATGTTTGTTGGATAGAGAAAATTCTAATTTCTGCTTTGCAATCATTTTTCAATGAAATAAGATCTCTCAAAAGTCCTGTGACTTATTTATCCTAGTTTGAGGATGTTTATATTCTTGTTATGGAATAAAAAAAATTAGGTATGTAAACAAGGACTGTCGAAACATTCCAGCAAACTAAAGCTGAGTGTTTTGTCAAGCAAAATCAAGTGTTGCTCACAGCTTTCTTTAAAACAGAACATCTAATAAAACAATTGCAAAGTACAACTTGGAGCTGGAAATATTTTTGAAGATGAAAGGCTGGTAAAAATAATGATGCTTGGCTCGTCCATGAACCCAGAGAAAGGATTAGTTGTTATTTCTGACACAAGTGCATTTGGCTCTGAAATTTAATCTTTTGTGTTTATGAAATGTACGATTGCTTTATACTGTTGGCTGCAGTTTACTTTTAGCAGTCTTGCTGAGATATGGCTGTTTAACATACTACATTCGGGTGTTAAATGCATAAAAGCTGAAATATCTTGATGAGATTTCTGTAAGCCAATTTCCTGGCTATGAATCCAGTTCAGTTCATTATCAACTGAAATGAATAATTTGACTGTTTACTCAGAAGCCATTTCAACTCTGATCAACACGAGATACAACTAGTGCTGTACTTTGAGTGCAGCACTCTTTTGCATATATACATGCGAGCAAGTTAGAGTGAACGTTATGAGAATTGCTTTCAAATAACAGCCATTTATTAATGAAAAGGCACACACAAACTGTAAAGTAACATCCCCAAGCACAGGTTTTTTTGGAAGCTCAGTGGAGAGGAAATTAATGTCCCTATATCTAACCACAAGATTTGGCTGTTGAGAGACTGACTTAAACATAATCATTTTTAAGAGCGTTGCAGATTTTGTGAAACCTGGAACTGTGCAGTTCCAGATAAATCATTCTTACTTTGATTTACCTTGGGCTGAAGTTTAAAAAAGCATACTTGCCAAACCAGCTGTATAGGTATCTTTTCATCTCCTACATCAACAATAGCAACAAAAGGTTTTGGAACTAAAGTGCCCTACTTCATTATCTTTCATACACTTCAGAGACGTGTGTGAAGTTAGCTTTGTTTTACAAAGGTACTAATTAAGGAGAACTTTAGAGACCAGACTTCTTTCCTGTTGCAAGTTCCAAGAAATACAGTAAGGGGACAGCTGTAGATAGATTGTATATTAGAGTTCTGACTTGGTGACATAACAACAAAAGGCACCTTTCTAGGAAGATTTCAAAAATAATGAAAGAGCATATTTCACTGGTAGAGTATAAATTTGGCTTGCAAAATGCTCCAGGCAAGATGTCTGGCATCAACCCTGGATATTGTCACAAAGTCTAGATTAAGGAAGATGCTAAACTTCCTGTCCCACAAGCTGTAAACGGCATAGTTAGCAATGAGATTGTTGGGAGTTGCAGTTCAGCAGGGTTTGTAGATTCACCAACATTGTCCTAGATACAGGTAGTCCATAGGTGGTATTCTATTGGTTTGCTGTGGTTTGGGTGAACCGGTAGTGGTGGCGGCAGGAGGCTTCGCCCACCCGCCCAGATATAATCACGGACACTCTGCGCATGTAGAGGACTGCCAGTGACATTGATCCAGATGTTCTTACTCAGTTTAAGATAGTCACCTAGGTTTTCTTAATGTTTCACTAGTTGTATAACGTCCACTAGTTTTATGGATATGAAGGTTGCATGTGCAACCTTCTCATCCCATTGTCCCAAAGATGCTTTTATCAAGCACCTTTGGGACAGCCATGACATGGATTACTCCATAGACATTTCTCATCCCATTTCCCCTCTTCTATGCTAATTTAATTTCCTTCTACACTCTTGCACCATCCCTTCTAAACTATGTCCTTTCCTTGTTGCATAGTTCTTACTTCCTGTTCCCAGCTACTTTCAACACTTCGGGGTAACCCTTGAGGCATCATTGCTGCTGCCAGTACCAAGTGCCAACCATTGTAAAAGGGCAGCGTTATTAGCTTTGTAGTCAAGAGTAAAATGGATAAGGTTAGACTTGTGTATTTTTTCCCAACTTTATTGATTCTTCTTGTGCCTTTCTGTGAAATGTTCATATAGAAAAGCAGGTTGGAAGTGTTTTCTTCATAAAGCATTCACAATTACTCCCTAAAGATAAAGATAAAGGTTCGCCTTGCACATATGTGCTAGTTGTTCCCAATTCTAGGGGGCGGTGCTCATCTCTGTTTCAAAGCCAAAGAGTCAGCGCTGTCCAAAGACGTCTCTGTGATCATGTGGCCAGCATGCCTAAATGCCGAAGGTGCATGGAGCGCTGTTACCTTCCCACCAAACTGGTTCCTATTTTTCTACTTGCATTTTTTACGTGTTTTTGAACTGCTAGGTTGGCAGAAGCTGGGACAAGTAACAGAAGCTCACTCCGTTATGCAGCACTAGGGATTCAAACTGCCAAACTGCCAACCTTTCTGATCGACAAACTCAGCATCTTAGACATTGAGCCACCACTCCCTCTTATTATTCCCTATGTACTGAGAAATATCCACATCCAAACAAAATATATTCCATTCTTGGGTATAGCAATGGACTATTCAGGAAGAAAATAATGTTTTAGCGTTTACACATAATAATATGTGTCTCCCAGGGTTTCTGAATCAAATGGACGTTTATGTAGAGAATATATCCATTAAAAAGCTGTATAAGGAACTGAAGTATGTATTCCACGTGGTGGCCTGTCTCTTCTCAGGTTCTAGATCAGTGTTTCTCTTTCTTAGCAGCTTGAAGATGTGTGGACTGGTGAATGACTAGCTGGGGAATTCTGGGAGTTGAAGGCTATACATCTTCAAGTTCCTAAGGTTGAGAAACAATGATATGGCTGGGTGAAGGGCTGTCTGGAGAATTCCAACAGCTAAAGTCCATCTTCTGTTTGTTATGGTTGAGAAACACTAATCTAGATAGTATATTTTTTCGTGTACTCATATGTTCTTCCATATCACACATTAAACACTAATCGAAGAGTTTTTAAAGTAATCTTGACTAAGCTCTGATGCTAAACAGAACCTGGCCTGACGAGGACTTGGATGAGAAGCCATCATAAAATCTCAGGGCTCTAAGACTATCAAAAAATTGAGCAGGCATCCCAATAGGCTGTGTCAAGCCACCCTTCCCAAGAGGAGATATTTAATCTTCCCAATGACAGCCAGTGTGTATAGTTGTGAATCAGTTGGATTGGAACTAGGAGACCTAGGTTGAAGTCCAACCTCAACCATGGAAGGTGATTGGTTGGCTTTGGGCTTCCTTCCCGCCCCCCTCTTTCATCAATCAATGGTGCATGAGTGATATTAAACTATTATCGGAAACACTATCATTTTGTTATTTATTAACACAGGAAATGCATAATAATTTTTCTTTGTCCTCCATGCCCCCATCACACTTTGATCTTTCACTTTAGCAAACTTGTGTAGAGTTTTCATTGCATTCATTATCATCATCTCAGACAGAGAAATAACACTTGTCATCCAGTGTAAAGAAGACAGTTGTTAAATGATGACTCCTTGTTGCCATTTAAGACAAAGAAAGCTATGAGGGTTCATGGAAAGAATTGTTGTTACATGCATATGTGAGACATGGTTTGCAGGAGCAGGGGGGCAGGATTTGTCGTTCTTTTCATGATTGTTGAGATGCCCTCCTTCTCCACAAATCTTTGCTTTTTATACCAGGGAATGTGTCAGAGTTGGAGCTGAATCACCGTTTACCCAGGAGGCCATAACAAAAAAAATTTTTTAAGTACAGGGCAATCCTGTAATTGTCTACTCCAAACTAAACACTAGTTTAGTTCCCAGTTTAGTGGGAATTATATCCAGTTAAGCATTTATTACAAATGTAGACAATCTTCCACCTAACAGCTACAAAGTTCACTACATAATATCGGTCTTCAGACTTCCTTCAGACTTCCTACAGGATCTGATCACTTCTCAATTTATTCTGTTGGTCTCTGTTTTCCTGCAACTTGTTGTATACTCCCAGTCCTAAAAACACAATGATGAATGTTTGTGTCAGTGGTGAAATTCAATTTTTTTTACAACGGTTCTGTGGGCGTGGCTTGGTGAACATGGCAGGGGAAGGATACTGTAAAATCTCCATTTCCTCCTCATTCCTGGGGGAAGGATATTGCAAAATCTGCATTCCCATCCCACTCTGGGACCAACCGTAGGTGGTATTTGCCAGTTCTCTGAACTACTCAAAATTTCCACTACCAGTTCTCCAGAACCTGTCAGAACCTACTGAATTTCACCCCTGGTGTGTTTGTGTATAAACAGATGATTGATCCATGTGCTCCAGAAGCAGTCCACAAGCCTGGAAATGCTTTGAAATTATTAAAACTGCAGCTTTAGGCAATCTATTAGTTACATTTATTTTGTCTGGAATTGTATGTTTTCATACACTATATAGAGAAGTTATATCAAGGTTCAGTTTAGTTGTCCTGCCTAATGACTATTCCTTTTCCAAGACAAAAATGACCCAAAGTCTCCATCAGTGATGGCCTCAATTAGGTCATTTCAAACATCACAGCAAGAAGAACATCTCATGTTTCATTATGCATGTTAATTTTATTTGCAAAAGCAAAATGCCCTATAATATCCTTATGATTGTGGTGCTTTGTAAAAGTAGAACTAGAGAAAGTATGTGACTGTAGGCATTTTAATTTTAGAAATACTTCAAAGAGGATTTGTTTTTGCATCATTCTAAGCTGTAGCTTGGAATTCTGTTAGTTTACCATTCTATGGAATTATTAGCAATGTAGAGAGAAAATAAATTGTGAGTTCTGAGATATTTATATATATTTTTTATTTTTTAATTTCTTCTAGTTATTTCAGTGGAAGCAGCTGGAGAATCTCTATTTTCGTGAAAAGAAGTTTGCAGTAGAAGTTCATGATCCCCACAGGTAAGCAACCAGGCACTTATTAACACTGTCCTGCTGGACGAGTTGCTAATTCTGTGGAGTCTATGCGTATTTCATACTCACACATGATGCTAAACTGTAATGTGGTTCATTTTTAGCTCATCCATCCCAAGGGAGCAAAATGTTTTATAATATTATGGCTCTCCCTATTATAGCAATAGCAATAGTTAGACTTATATACCGCTTCATAGGGCTTTCAGCCCTCTCTAAGTGGTTTACAGAGTCAGCATATTGCCCCCAACAACAATCCGGGTCCTCATTTTACCCACCTCGGAAGGATGGAAGGCTGAGTCAACCCTGAGCCTAGTGGGATTTGAACAGCCAAACTGCTGAACTGCAGTCAGCTGAAGTAGCCTGCAGTGCTGCATTTAACCACTGCACCACCTCAGCTCTATTATGCTAACCTGAAAGAAATGAACTCAACATCATTGTTTCCCATGTGTATCTAAGTTACATGAAATAGCTCCATGCAGCATTTATTTCTAATATAACCAGAGGATTAGCATTGTAGCCCTTTTTCATAGTCCAATTAGTTGTTGGAAACTATTTTTTTTAAAAACCATTGAGAGAATGGTATAGATTGAAGTGTTGGAAAAAAGTGGTACAAATTATCCACATAAATAAATTCTAATGCCCTCTAAAATGTTTAGGACTATAACATTCAGCTTCTAGAATTCCTAGAGCATTCATTCTGCTTGGAGATGTTGGGGAGTTGTGATCCTGATCTATCGCTTTGCAGAAGGCTTATATAAGCAAATGCATAATTCTTAGTGGGCAGAAGCAGTTCAAGCAGATCAAATATTCAGGAAACATTTAAAATGAATCCCAGACCAAGTGTAGTACATATTTCGTAAACCTTTTGAAAGCACAAGATTGCTTCAAGTTAGCCTATATTCAGAAGTCACTGAATAAACTGTAAGAAACTAATTCTGTTGATATAACAATAAGCTAGAATACAACATAATCACTACACACTTCACCCAAAAGAGGACTGGTTTATATTTCATCTATCCTCTGTGCACTGAACTAAGACGGGGAGGAGAGCTGAAAAGCCCTCAAGAAGAGCCCCAGCAAGTTAGTTCCTCATATCAATATTGGCTGAGACTTTTTCCAATGCCGGCTTCTGAAAACAGCCATGGAAATTGTGCTCCACCTCAGCTCTTCCTTCAGAAACACGTATATTTCCATCTATTGTTTTCCACTAACATCTGCAACAAAACTTTTTAGTAAACCGATTTGTATAATTCCGAAAGAAATGACTTTGGGTTTGTGACTCAGTTTTCTAGTGAAAGAAAAGTCTGGGTCTAATGGAACCTCTTTTCTGTGAGAAAGGTGGGGCTTTGGGGATGGTCCTGAGTAAATTCTACTTTGTCTAAAATCTTTTCTGAGAAAAGGTTTTTCCCTTATAGTTCCCCCTCCCCCTTCTTGGGAATGAATGTTCAGTCTTTCTAGCAGTTGCTGCTGCCTCTTATATAATCTAAGTGGTACAGCCAGGCACGGGTTTGCTATCTTAGGGAGAACTAAGCTAGGTACAACATAAACATTTAAAAATTGAAGTGTTAACTATTTGGGCGTCTAGTTGGTTGGTTAATTGCTCTTTTGTTTATTTAACCTCTACTGGACAGGCTGCAAAGATTAATCTAAGGGTTAACTTTATATGACGAATAGCTGTTTCTCTTTCTCTCTCTCTCTCTCAAAAAGCAATATTCACTTTATAAAAAATGCTTAGAATTTCAGTATCAAGAAGGACCTTTGGACAGAGCGGTCTCGTAGTACAAACCTGGTATGCGAACACTTCTCTAATCAAATCCATCTGGATGATGGCAATCAGTCAACATCAGTTTTACTTGGATAGGAAACAAAGCAAAGTAAGTGAACTTGAGTGCTGTGGAGGGGGGGAGGGAGGATGTATTCCAGTCGGGGGTGGGTTGCGTGTGCAGTTCACTTTGCTTGTGGGAAGCTGAAAAGTCGCAAATGTCGCTCATGGGACCATGGGACTCTACAAGTGTTACTTGTCTGTATGTTGTATCCCACCTTTCTTATTTTACAAAGGCACACATAAGTGCAAGTTGATTGCCAAGCTCTTAAATTGTGATCATGTGACCATGGGGATGCTGCAATAGCCATAATATTGAGTATTGGTGACAAATCACTATACAAGAGCCGAGGTGGCGCTGTGGTTAGAGTGCAGTACTGCAGGCTACTTCAGCTGACTGCTAGCTGCAGTTCGGCAGTTCAAATCTCACCGTCTCAAAGTTGACTCAGCCTTCCATCCTTCCAAGGTGGGTAAAATGAGGACTCAGATTGTTGGGGGCAATATGCTGACACTGTAAACCGCTTAGAAAGGGCTGTAAAAGCACTATGAAGCTGTATATAAGTCCAAGTGCTATTGCTATAAATGCCACTTATTCAGCACAACTTTAAATGGTTGCTAAATGAGTGGTTATTAGCTGAAGGTTTCTATTCTTGCAAATTACCTCACAATATTTGGTAGCCTACCTTGTAAAAATATCCCTTTTAGTGATTTTGAACAACGAGCAGAATTGACTCTTTTATCATTTGTAAATATTTTAAAATTCATTGGGAGTATGGAAGCCTGAGTTGAAAGGCAATGCAGTCCGATTTTTAGTATTATATATGAGCAGTAGTGTGATTATTTAATCTATTTCATGCTACTTACAGCCACAGCTAGGGAAATGTTCTAAAAACATTCAATGTTTAATTTATGAATTTAAGTTTTCTTTTCTTTTTCCTATATTCATTTTGAACATTTCTAATGGCTAATTAAGTACTAGCTTGTGTTTTTAATCATTAATACCCAGAAAACAAGTTAAGTCTCAAAGCAATATAAATTTAGCTTTGGGAACAGTATGAAATATGTTCTGGTACCTTTTGTTTTATTACAGTTAACATGGTGATACATGGTAGTGCATTGTTTTAGTTTGTTTGTTTTGAAATTATTTCAGGCAAAAATTCCCTCAGCCAGAAGTTTGGATGATATTGCAATGGACCTGACAGATACGGGAGTGCCAAAAGTTTCAAAGCTAACAGCTTTGGAAGTAAAGAATCAACTTATTATGGCCAGCAATGGTAGTTTAATCTCTTCAGGTAGGAAGTCTTGCCCCTTTGAAACGTCTGCATCCTTGAGTCTTGCTTGCACCGTAGAGTGTGCTCGTGGATACACTCTAAATCAGAGGTGGGGAACTATGGCCCTTCTCCATCTTAGTGGAGATAGTATCCAGGAATGGGTTGACCTCTTCTGCACGGTGATTGGACTGAGTCTTGTTGGCAGGGCTACCCAGCTTTTGACTCAGTCTCATCGTGGACAGATGGGTCAATCCTTCTTGCTATGTGGATTTCAACTCCATTCTGAGCTTTGCTGGCTCAGGAATTCTGGGAGTTGAAGTACACAAGTCATAAAAGGGCCATAGTTCCCCACATAAAAGAAAACCTATTAATAAGAAACCCCAGATAAATGTATTATTGAACATGACAAATTCAACAAAAACCCTTGCTAGTCCTTGACAAGCTTTAAGCTCCAAATCAGTTTTGAGTATTGTAATGGGTTTTCATAAAGGATATGATGGTAAAGTGAAAACAAAATCTTTCCCTCAACTTACCATATATCCTGCTTGCTCTAGTGGTGGTTGGTGGTAGTTCAGATTTCAAAAATATCAGGGAGACACTTTCAGGCAAAATTACCTTCATTCTCTTCCAGCACAGAAAGGTAGATAATTATCCAACACATACACGTCCTCGATTTACGATCACAACTGAGGCCCAAAATTTCTGTTGCTAGGCAAGTTAGTTGTTAAGTGAGTTTCGCTCCATCTTACAATCTTTTTGCCACAGTTGTTAAGCGAAACATATAGTTATTAAGCAAATTAACTTTGCTTGTCAGAAGCCTATTGGGAAGATTGTCAGTGGTCATCACATGAAAGCGCAACAGTCATAAATACATGCCACTTTCCAAGCACTCAAATTTTGATGAGGGGGATGCTGCTGTGGTTGCGTGAAAAATAAGTCATGTCACTTTTTTCAGCGCCACTGTAATTTTGAACAGGCATTAAATAAATGCTTGTAAGTCAAGGACTACCTATAATAGGGGAAAAAATAACTCACTAATCAAAGATTGGCACTCTTAAGAAACATGAATGGAAATACATTGACAGAAGTAAACTTTTTTCTGTCCTCTGGGTTTTCTTCCCCAGGCCTTAGGCTAATGTGAATGACAGGCTTCTTATGTGGGATTTTACTAGCTATTGTGGGGTTTTTTTCTTCCATACGTTATTCCTTTGTAGTAGTTGGATGGAGAGACAGAGATAAGTGCATAGATCTGGAGAGGGACTCCTGAGCAAATAAAACTGCTAGGAAATAAAGTGAAGATGGATAGTCTTTTCGGGGTTATCAATCTCTCCTGCTTATCCTGCATTTTTTACTTTTGAAGTAGCAGTCACAGGACATGTTTTGTGCAAATGTGATGGTTTCACAAAGGCGGACAGGATCAATTATATATATGAATAGCTAGTTCTAGCCACCCCATTCTTGTGTACTCATGCAAGAAGTTACTAGTTTCAAGGAAGAAAAATAGTTTTACAGTGTGTTTGATCTGGTTTACATTCAACCCTACTCTTGCTATGCAGGTTTATTCAGGACAACTTTCGAGGTGGCATTACGACATTCATATGTCATATATTTTGTCTGCTCCACCCAGATAGCCTTAAACTCTCTGGAATCGGAAGTCTCCTATAGTTTTGCTCTGTATGTTGATATAGCAGCCAATTTACCTTTCCCACATTCAGAGATCTGTGGTTTAGTGTATTGAACTGAAAATCTAGCCTTCCAGGACAGTAGTATAAAGATCCCCTATCTTATATTGTATTTTAATATATTGAATTCATTGAAACTACATTTCCCAGAATACCTAGCTATTATGGCCAGAGGCAATTATTAACATATCTGGAGTCATCGTCTTCGGAAAGGCTAATTTAAGAAAGCAAAACTAGCTGATTTTTTTTTTACCTTTGTAACCCAACTTCCCTCTAGATTGCTCAAGATAATGTACTTTAGACTTACTCCTTATTTTAGCCTTATGGCTTGTGACGAAGTAAGAGAAAACTGTTGATTTAGTCTCCCACTGAACTCCCTGGTCAAGTGAGAATTTGAATGAGCTTTTCCAAGATCTCCACCTTAGCACTTTAATCATACTTCCTCCTAGTAAGCCTTTTTGGGTTCTGTACCTTTATAAGAAGGACAACTTTAATCTTCAGGTAAATACACCCGTTCCCAACCTTTAATCCATTGAGGAACCTACAACCACCTAGTTTTTCTGGATCTGCTCAGCATATGTAAAAAAGATGTTTGAAAAGGAAGTCTTAATATAATTATAAAGTACTGCAGATAAAAATCAAGCAGTAACTGATGTTTACTTCTTACAGCATTCTTGAATTTACCCCATAATCTAATAAATTTAATCAATTTGCATGCATTTAAAGAAAGCCCATGCATGCATGTTTGTCTGAGTTGAAAGTAGGGGACATTTACTGAATTTCAATGTAGTGCTGCTGAAAAGTCAGGTTAATTTAAGAAAGATGTGAAGACACATTCTGTTTAAAGCTAAGCTAACAAATTTACAAGTTGACTTGCAATACAAGTTGTGGTATTCTAAGCATTTATATTCTCCCAAACACTGTTTTCCTACCAGTCTGCAAACAGTCAGTTAGCATTCTATGGCTATTGAGCGTGTCTACTCCTCACAGGGATTCATTTGTACTTTTCCTCCCCTTAATTTTTGTTTTATTTTGTTCGTTTTTCTTACATCCATAAATATTGAATCTCGCCTCAAACTTTTTTGAGTCTACATGTCCATATTGCTTTTATAGGATCTCAAGATTCAGAAGTCAGCGAAGAGCAGAAGAAAGAGAAAATCTTAGAACTGAGAAAGAAAGAAAAGCTCTTGCAGGAAAAACTCTTGCAGAAAGTTGAAGAGTTGAAGAAGATCTGTCTGCGGGAAGCGGTAAAACTTCTTGTTTTCGCTCCAGTCAAGCATAGAATATTCATTTACTCTTTCTCGGGTTGCTTAAGGGTGCTCTTCTCATATTCTGTAGGAGCTCACTGGAAAAATGCCAAAGGAATATCCTCTGAACACTGGAGAGAAGCCACCTCAAGTCAGAAGGCGTGTAGGTACGACATTCAGATTGGATGACAATCTGCTACCCAATGAGGAGGTAGGCATATCTTAGTTTGTTTGTTTGTTTATGATTTTATAAGACTTATGTGGCCACCCACCTTAACATAAATCTGGGTGGCAGTAAAAACCAGAAAGCAAAGGGCGGCAAAGCACTGTGAAGCGTTAAGTCTAAGTGCTATTGCTATTGATAATTCACCCATATTGACTATCATGGATCGAATTAAGTGTTAGGATTGTGCAAATTCTAACAAAAGGGTGCTCTGTAACNAAGATGCACAAATCGGGATGACGGAAACCACAGCCACTCTGTCTTGGAGGGATTGAGCTTGACCCTGTTCCTCCCCATCCAGATCCGCACAGCCTCCAGGCATTGGCACATCATTTTATGAAAAATGGGTCATTTTTGCTCATTTTTGTGGCCCCACCCCCAGGAGCACTCTACAAGCCTCCTAAAGGCTATTCATGTCTTTTTGGGGCCATTTTTGGGAGGTCTGCAGAGTGCAAAAACTTTTTTTTATTTGCCTTTTCAAAACCTTGGTGCATCTTATACTCGGTGAGTCTTATACTCTGAAAAATACGGTATACTCTTCTTTTATAAAACATTCAGCTTATTCAAGTACAGAATAAAATGGAATTCCAAATCCTTTTGCTTATTAAAGTTTAAAAAAACAACAACAAGATTAAGGAATATAAGGATATTGCTCTTGGGGCTACTGCATACTCTTAATTTTATAGCCATACATTTTGTGATAAGGTCTGTCATGGAACTGAAACTTCACTATCAATTTTCTTGATTATAAGTCTTGCCACTGAGCAAATGGGCTATCCAATGGCTCTCCACCTACTCCTGATTTCCTGAACTTCAGAATGGTACATTAAGTGCCATTTAGCAGGGACGGCTGCAGTATGCCATTTATCAGCCTATTAGACACACCTTGTCTTGCTAATGGGGGCAAAAAATGTATAATAAACGCCTGGTGTTGAGGGTTTCCTTTCCTTGCTGGAGAAGAATAATTCAGTAATTATACAGCATGCCTCATTTAGTAGCCTGGCCAAAGAACAGGAAATGGGCTTCTCAGAAGCTTTCAGAGGTTCTGAATGAAAGACCTGCTGTTTTCAGTGTTTCTAAAATCTTACTGAGCTACACAAATGCTGTATGCTCCACCCTACAAACCAAATAGCAACTTGCTGTTGGAAAACTCATAACTAGAGGGGATTCAAAGGTTCAGTGATCCATCTGGGGGTGTCGACAGGATGTGGCTGAAAGAAATAAAAATCAAGATAGTCATGATAATGAGACTGAAGCACTCCATTTTATGCACATTTCATGTGGTTTACAAGGTTTCCAGAAAGGTATTACACTTACACAACTCATACCCTATTGAGTCATCATCTCAGAGACATTGTCTTACCTACAGAAATGTCCATGGCAGGAGACAAATGCAGGGGTAGTGGCAGTGAATTCCAACTTACTTCCTTACTATCTTACTTCCTCCCTCCCTTCCTTCTTCCCTCACTCCTTCCTTCCTTCTCCCTCCCTCCCTCCCTTGAATTCCTATTGACTTCCCTACTTACTTCCCTTGTGGTAAGCCTGAAGGGAGAAAGTCAGTGGGGAAGCCAGCAGGAAGTTGCAAGGCCAGCAGGTAGACACTATAAGTAGCGACTGCCAGGTGGAGAAGAGAATGAGGGTGTATGTTGGAGTTCAGGTCAGGAATTCATCCATCCATCCATCCATCCATCCATCCATCCATCCATCCATCCATCCATCCATCCATCCATCCATCC